TCTAGATCATACTTAAATATTACGGTCCTATGATTACTCGTTTAGCTTTAAAAATTCGTCAAAATTTGCAAAAATTATTATCGTTTTTTTTTGGCATTTGTCAAAATTAGAACTTTCATCGACGTTTGCTCAAAAACGCCTGAACCGATTTCAGAAATTTAAAAACCATTTGATGTGTCTCAATGAGGACTATTGCTTGTCAGTTTTGCCGAGCCGTTCCATTGGAATTTGGAAAAAAGTGTTAAACTTTTTGTCCAAATTTAAGCCCATGCTACCGAATCTATTTTAAAAAATCAATAACTGTTCGAAAGGTATTAGTAGGGAATGATACTGATTAGTTTTAGGTGAAAATCTACCGAGCCGTTTTCTTATTCGTTGTTGAAAACAAAAATCGTCTTGTAAGTTTCCAAATTTTCAGAAAAGTCGTTTTTTTAAAAGAATTCAAAAGAATTGTTTTTTTTTCGGTAAAAATATTGTTTACCTTTTATACATCAAATTATTTTCGTCAAACTATGCAGAAAGACTGATCACAATATCTTACAACATATACTAAACATTTGCTTGCATAATAAAAGAAAGTTTATTGTTTCTAATTATTGACTATTGGTCTTCATTCAAATTCTGAATTTAATTATTTCTGGAGTACTTTTATATTCTATTGTCCAAAATAAATATGCCACAAAACCAAGGATCGATATTTATTTATTTCGCCACCACAGGTCAAGAACCCGTTTACGCATCGGCTAGAAATTTATTTATCGTAAAATGTAATTTATTTATGGCAAGAGCGAGTTGTGTCTGACAACAGAATTACCTGCTAGAAAATATGACTTTTGTCGAAATACGAAAGACTTTAGTCGGGTAATAAATTAGATCCATTGTAGTTATAGGTGGGTCGCAATACTTTCGATATTACTAACAATAAATCATTCGAGGTCCCCGACCGAACAGCTCAGGTGAAGATAACTGAGTCGCTTAATCAGATCATATGTACGAAAATAAAAGTGAAAGGCTCGAATTCGTGGGCGGTTTAGTTTTGTGCTTATTTTTGGTATTTTCTAAGAGAACACAATATATTTGTTTCTGAGGCATATAGGGTAGAAACGCTGATGACTACTAGTACTAAAATTTGTAAATTGTAGACATTCTTAATAACTCTTATTGACAAAAAATATTCTTTGAAATAGTAAAACCGCAATATAAGTTATGGACATTTGTTGCATTTTATGAACAATGCTGATACTTTTTTTTCATTTATTTATTTATTAATTATAAAACTCATATGAATATATATTATTTATTTATTTAATAAACGCAAATCGGTTATATTCAGTTAATTATATAGTAATGTAACTCAATGTAATCCTATGTTATTTATACAATCACATACGGGTACCTATACATACGCATGTACACACACCCGCAAATGCACCTATATAGACTCAAACACACTAGTGTTAACAAATTCTAATAAGTATTATTCTTTTTACAATTTTAATAAATGTACTATTTGAAATATTAAAAAAAGTTTAGTTTTGTTGACAACCATTGCTACCCTATTTACGGGACCGTTCAACATATAGTTTTTTATAGTTCTTGAAGTCTGTTTGATTTTAGTCCTTGTCTCGGGAATATCAAATTAATGTTTTCTAGTATCTCATGCTAATCAATTAAGTCATTTGCTGTGACATGAAATAAAATAAGATCAGTCATTTGCTTTTGTTTGCTTAGGTTATTGGCCTCACATTTCTGTAAAAATTTTCCGCTTTCATGTGCACTAATTCTTTTCGATTGCTCAAATTAAGGTGATTTACAGATTTTGTTGCACTTAATTAAGTTAATCAATTATACGATAATTGATGAAATTCTGAGCATAAATAACTTTTCGATTTATGCTTGAGCAATTATATTGTGAAAACCAAACCAACTATATCACTACAAATAACATATATCAAACTAAAAACTATCTGACTATGTTCCGTAAAACTCCTAGCTAATTTATCAACGTAGAAATGTTTTTCAGCCATTTTTCAAAAATTTGTAACCGAATTATTTTTACCCCAATAAGACGTCCTGGAGGTGTAGATCCAATGTTTTATTTTAATTTCAAAGGAATTTTACAAAATAATAGCAGTATTAATCAACCATTGCAAAATATAAATTTCACATTGATCTGGTATTTTGTCAGAAATATTCATCAGCATAGTAGAAATAACTATTTATTTAATTTATTTCTTATAAAATAGCATTTTATCTTACTTTTCCTTTTTTTGACACTTCTTTATTTTTACACCTTTGTCAGGGTAGAGGTTAAGTTACCCTAGTTATAGAGGTTATGTAAAAAGTACGGTTCTATCTATCTAATTTAATATATAATCTAAATATCTAATTCAAAATTAACAATACCTCTTATAGAATAATTAAATAACGTATACTTAGAATTTATATTGAGGTCTCGTAAACTAAACAACAGTGCTCAAAACCGAAAAAACAAACATTGAAAGAAAATACTTTTGTTATGGATTTTCAATATATAAGAAATATCATAATCATTAGCAATATCATAAAAATCAAAATAATGACTGGCTATACATTCTTCTACCTCCACTTGCAAAGATTGTTGTTCAAAATTTCCTAATTTTACTGGTGGTGGATCTTTATACCCGCGGACTTCTGAACCAAGCTTTACCCTATACTACATAGTAAAAATGATTTAAAAAGAATAAAATATTATATATGTAAATGTATAAAATTAGGAATAGTTTTTGATAAACAGCTAATTCTTAATTCGTATCAATTAAGTGTATTATTTTCACAATTCGGGAAGTTCATTAAACTTGCCTTAAGGTCAATTCGCACTAACACTTACTTATTTTATTCAGTCATTAAATCAAAGTATTCTAAAGAACTAGAAATTTCAGAATATCTTTTGGGGTTTTCAAAATATTAATTTAAACAGCATATAGGCACTGCATCATACGAATGACGAAAATACTCGTCATAATATGATATATAATATTTGTTCTAATCTAGGTATTTGTTTGTCAATCATAGTTAAGTGGTTAAAAGTAAATTTTTAATGGAAGAAATATAATCAATCTCTCTGACACAATTAGAACCAAAGATCTAATTATGTAGTGTAATGTAATTGGTTATTTTTATATAAAATAACAGAATCTATAATTCTGTATCTACCTTTCTACTAAAAAGAATGATAAAACTTTTTGGTTATTTTATACTGTAAACTACAGTATCTACTGGTTTTCAGAATCACATGGTTATTCAAAACAGAAATGTTATGTAAATATTAATACTGCTGTTCACCTGTGATATACTATGATTGCAAAATATGAAATATAAACTGAATTCGAAAATGGACTGTCAAATTGTTGAAATAATATTTTATATTTCCTTATGATGAATTGTATTCATTTAACTATGAATAACAGTTCTTATAATGTATAAATGAGCACGTATTCATCTCAAAATTGATATTTCGCATGACCTGTTTCCTTCAATTTCTTCTTTATATATACATAACGATATGCTTTAGAAAACTCAACTACGGCGCTTGAAGCTTTATAAGAAGCGAATATCTTTATCGATAGTATCGATATTTGAAATTGGATATTTTTATAGACGTTGAGCAGCACGCATTCACAATTTAAAATTTTATTATTGGATTTACTTGCAGCTTGTTTATTTGGTTTTAATTTTGAATGAATAAATTTTACCATATGTATTTTTTAAAAAGTTCCAAACTTTTTGTTCAATGTTTTTTTTATAATTATGTGCTATTTCTCTAGTTTTGTCTTTTTTGAATATATGATATAGAGTAGGGCGGGGCACAAAAGTCCTTTGTGATTTTGATTCATTATATTGTGAAACCTTCACCAATTATATCACAACAAATAACACATGTCAAACAAACAACTTCCTGACTATGTTCAGTAAAACTCTCGGCTAATTTATTATTGTAGAAATGTATTTCCTGTTTTTCAAAAAATTGTCCCCTGATCCTTTTATCCCATAGACTGAGTGAAAGAGTCTGTCTTTTTTTACAAGGTGGCGAACAGAGACAATGTTTTGATCTTAATTTTAAAAGGACTTTACGTAATAATAACTACTTTATTCAATCTGCAATTTTGTTGCAAAGATTACACCATATAAAACTCTGATCTAGTATTTCGTTAGCGATATTCATCAACAGTTTAATAGTTGGAATAACTCTGTTAAAATTTTATTCACTATTTTCTTATTGTTATACTTTTTTCAGGGTAAAGTTTATGTTGGAGCTTTTTGCCCCACACATATGTAAGCTTTAGAGATTATATAAAAAATATGTTAATTTTAACTTATGAAATAACAATACATCTTATATAACAATTGAATAACGTATACTTAAATATTATAGTAATAATCAAGATGATGGTTGGTTAATCATCTTTTCATACTTTCAAATATTTTGGTTATAGCAAACCTAATTTTACTTATTTTTGAGATATTATTAGTGATTTATTTTCTTTATCAGCAAGACAGTTATCGACAGAGTTCGAAAAGTTATCTGCTGAAAAGGTTTAAATTATCATTTTAGTTTCTAATATTTATATTATTATCGAACTAACTTAAGATGGTTTGTTTGTAATAAAATGAAACCCCAATATTCAAACCTTAATCATGTATTTATATAAAATTGATGAACCCACTGAACCCTCAAATGACTTTATTGACATTTTTTTTACAAATATAAAATTCCAATTCCATTTTTCAAAACATTAATCAGATATTTGTACGCGGGAATATATTTTTCGTTATTTATTGGAATTTTATTTTCTAACTATATTTGTAAGAGTTAGATATGTTTATACAGCTTTGTCAATTGTTAAGTTTCATAATTATCTATTGGATTATATAATAAAGAAATTGATGTTTGTGGTAAATAGCTTTAATGGTATTTAATTGTTATATTATAATTTATTTTTGTTATTTTTTTATTGCAGATGATGATTCTGGTGAAAAGTCTGTCTCGGTTTTACTCGGTGGTGAAGAATCAGAATTAACATTTGTAGACATTCCAAGTTCCGAAATGTCGGTGAGTATTAAATTCGAACCTAAAATTATTGCAAATTTTAGTTTTTTATCAAAATAACAAATGCTATTTATGGATACATTTTTTTTTATATATGAATATTTTTTTTAATCAGAATTGCGTGCTTTTAGTAAAAACCATTTTATTCTATTATGTGTAATCTTTTTTATCTGTGATATTATATTATATCTTATATTTTTCGATCTATATGTTTTATTTCGCTTTTGAGCCTTCTATAAAATTTTACTCAATTTTCTTCATAATTAATAGAAAAAAATTAGCACTTGTTTGTTTGTTTTTCTAATTTTTGTTACTTAACTTATTAATTTTTCAAAAACCGGGACAAAAGATTTAAATACGAGATTTTAATTAAATATCGCTTTTTGAAAAACCCTGGACGCAAGGTGGAAATCCGCGACTGCCCCGGCCAATCCGCGACATATAGTTGCCTTTATAACCAATTAGCTTTAATTCATATATTCAGTTATCATTAAGATATATTTTTGATGTATTTCCATGTAGCCTGAGAATTGCTTAACGTCATATGAAGTTCATGCATATTGTGTCGTGTATTCAACTTCTGATCGTGAAAGTTTCCTGGTAGCCGAGGAAAGTTTACAGGCACTTTGGACAGCTGGAAGTATGGCATCCAGAGCTGTGATTTTAGTTGCAAATAAAGCAGATTTAGCACGATGCAGAGTTGTCTCCACTGAAGGTGAGTTGTAATCTTAATTGGATACAAGTTATGAGTCCTTATAAACTTAGTTCAACCTATATATATGTATATATATATATATATATATATATATATATATATATTAGGGTGGTCCTTAATAATGACTCCTTATTATGGATGTTCTCGATTTTTTTTCTCCCAGTGGCTCGGAAAAACTAGACAAAACCCGAGTAAACGCTTCCATCAACATAAAAATAACTCAAAAAATACCAAACAATTCAAGACCATGTTAACCGAGCATATAATAATTTAGTACATAATAGATTTTTCTACCCAAAAATTTAACATTTTGAATGGAATGAAAGAAGATTCGCTTAAGAGTCATAAACATACGATTTGACAACACGGCCCTGAACAAAACAAACACATGATTGCTAAATAAAGTGTCAAAATTTCTTAAAAAATAACAAGATTCCATCGCTTTTTAAATTTTTCGTAAAATTTGAACATATGTTAAGAACTGCTTTGAGAAAAAAACGTGACATTTCTATCTCAGACTCCAAATAGCCAATACATAGTTTCGACAACTTACTAAACGTTATTCGTATTTATTTGTGTGTTTTGTCATTTGTGATGTTAAAAATTACATATTTTACCACTGTGCACATACTCATGCCATGGAGTAAAAATGTTTTTATCTGTTATATTCGGATACAAAATTATAAGTGTTTTTTCATTATTATTATTATTTTTCTTTGAAATTTCTTACATATTATTTATTTAGTTTTAATTTTTATAGTTATATTAATTGCCACTGAATGAAGGCTACGATGCGAGCCGAAACGTATGGATTTTAAATAAATTTCTGAAAACTCTCATATTATTTTTATTGACGTTACGTCCGACTTTAAGACTCAAATAAAATATATTATATCAACATACTTTTTTTTTAAATTTACTATTTGGATTGTCTTCTAAAACTACACGTAATTCATAATTATTCTCAACCATGTTTTTTTTATATTACCTTTTCATAAACATATCTTAAGAATAAATTATTTAGCTCATAGAACTCTGAAAGCACAGTAACTAAAAAAATGTTATTGATATCTTAGTTCAAAACAAGATCAAAAACACTATGTAAAGTGTTCCATAATCATCTATTAATTATCGCCATGCTTTGCTACTTTTATTTGCAGTCAAATGTAAAATTGGCTTCATATTATCTGTTTAAGTTACATATACTAGGCATCTTAGTAATATATTTTTAGTTATTTAACTTTTTACTAAAATATAGATGAGCAATTTAATTTATTAGAACTGTCTTTAGCGATGTTACATTCACATAATACATAGTCAACTAAACATATTCAATTTTATTTAATTTGATAGCTGGTAAACATAGATTTTCTAAAGTAATCTTAACAGTGATTCGATTATATTATTTGGAAACTTATTGTTTTTACTTGTATTTAAAAATAAATTAAGGTGTCAATATTTTTATTAGTTTTTTTTATTATAATATTTTTAATACATCTATTATATTGGAATGAAAAATGAAGAATTATATTGAATTTAGAATGTACTAATTTATTTTAATACCGCTTTATTACAAACATTTATATGTATGAGAAACGTGCGAATATTAAATATGCTTTAAATCTCATAAAAACATACAAAATCTCATAAAATACCTCTTGTCGTTTATTGTGTTTTTGCTGGAAGCTTTCAATCTTGTTACCAAAATTTTTATATCAACGACAGGTGTTCTGCCCCAATTTTATTAAAGTTATTGCATTTTATAAAAGTCTTGTTTATCCTTGTGTTGACATTGACAGGAAAATGAGTAGGTTTGCGAAGCCATTCTACGTCGTATAAATATGCACCGAAAACATAAAAGCAAATATTTTAAGAAATGATTGATAAGAATAACTTTTAGTAATACGTTAATAAAAGCAATCGATATTAGAAAATCTTAAAATTTGATAAGACAACTGTAATCAAAGGTTATACATAATAATTCTAAATGACTGTCAGTGATTGTGGGCTTGGATTAAATATTTGTACACTAGTAGAGTCTTGGATAAAATATTTGCAACCTTGTGGATGCAAAAATCTAGATATTGCAACCACGAGGTATCGAGTTCGAACCGTGCGTTTCGTGTAATCTTGTCACTTTGTATTGTAGATCACTAATTGAAAAAATATCCATTCCGGGCATTATTCCAAAAAGTTTAACTATAATCAAAATTCGGAAATGGCAACTGATTTGTTTTTTTATAAAAATATATAAAAAAGAAAATAACAGCCATTGAATTAGTGAAAAATAATTATCACAAAGTGCAATAACTAGTGCAACAAATTATATAGCAATAGATGTACACTAACATCTGTAGGTCAAAATAGATTTATATAATAAAAATGGAAATATCTAGTCACCGAAACAGAGGCAAATGCAACTAGTTGTATATGGCATTGTGCCTTAAGGCAAATAGCTGGAACTTCCTGTACCGTAACGAAATGTTCGAGGAATATTAAATGTTTTGAAATAGATTATTATGAATACTATGCTTATAAAGAATTAAAATAAAAACCTGATTTATTTTCGATATACAAAAAATTATTTAAAAAAAAAATGAAAAAGAAAATTTTGAAATATTTTTTCCGAAAGCAATCATTTTGTCAAAATAAGCAGAAGGTTTTTTGAATCATTCAAATCGAATGCTTAGTTCTCTTAAAAACTGCCCTTTTTTGTACACTTAGCTCGTAAATCCAAAACGGCTGGACCTGCCTTTGCCAAAAACTAAACACAACATCTCCCAATCATTACAAATTGAATATTTTTTTAATCATTCAAATCGGATACTCCGTTTTCTGAAACCTCGATTTCTGTTTTCGAATGGTTTTGAACCATTCAAATCGGTTGATCCGTGCGCTCGAAAACGTGGACGAAAAATGCGGACATACAAAACACACACACACACATAAATTTTTTGGAGGTATGCGAAAATGTTCAGAAACCTTCAAAACATGAAGATAAGCAAAAAAATTTCATTTTCGATTTTTGGCTCATTACTATAACTACCCTACGGGAAGTTAATAAAGAAAAGTCATTAAATTACTATTAGTGAAAAACAATAACCACAAAATGCAATAACAATTACAACAAATTATATACTAATAAATTTACATCAATATCGGCACATCTAAATAAATTTATATAACAAAAAGTGAATTTCGTGAAAACACAAACAAATGCAAAAAAAAACTTAAAATTTCTTATATTATATTTCTTATACTATTCATTTGTAGAAAAATTTACTTTCTGAAAAGTTTGTTTTTATGAAAAACGGTTAAGCCATTTCCTAATAATTAGCAAAAAACTATGAAATTTATCGTGCATGTTTTAGTACACAATCCTTATTTGATTGTGAAATCATGCTGATTAGTTTTTAATGAAGATCATACGGACCATCTCCAACTGATTATTAATTTAAACAAAATTTTGACGAACTTTTTGAAACTTGTTAAATGATAGAAATCGTAGTCTTAGAGAAGAAGCTAAAATATTACCGCCCTATGACGAGTCGTTTAATTTTAAAAATGTATTAAAGGTTGAAACAATAAGCAGCACTTTTTAACGTGAGCCAAAATTTGATCTTTATCCAAATTTAATAGTGGTTCGATGAAACTCGGTAGGGTCGATTATTCACACATGTCGAAAAATATGCTACTTACCTAAAGGTATAATCGCACTCACACCATGATTTAATAGTACCTAGCAATTGATGACTATTATATTAGCCATAAAATGTTAAGCTATATTATCATCAATGTGTAACTCGAAGTGCTATATATTTTCATACGTATATGAATTCAATGTAAACATTAAATATATTACTTTTGAATCAATTTTTATTTCAAACATTCGGTTCATATTTTGCTATCACATACTCCATATAAACAACCGGTTTTTAATTTCAATGCATAAACACTCAATGGAAAAACATTTTCTCTCCACGTTTCCAATACTGCAGATGAAATCATGCTTCTGCACGAGCTTCGTAAAAGCTTTAATTAATTTTTTACATAAAACAAATGAAACTCTGCTTTAACAAAACGTCTAGAATAGTCCGCGCATGGAAGCCTTCGGGGCCCATAGGAATATCCGATGGAAATCCGTTCTTCTCAAACCGGATGCAGATATAGGAAAGCCAGAGCAGAAATAGAGGCAAGTTCCGTTCGAATCGGCTGTAGACTTTGCTATCAAATCCCATCGGGCGTCTGTCGCGTGAAACCGTCGGAAAATTTAATCTTTGTTCAAAAAACCGGAAAATATGCCATCCGACACGTGGGTGAAAAATTCACTCAATGAATTCGACGTAACAAATGTCAGTTCCAAAAGGATATATCATTGGATGGTTATGGAATAATGCATATATTTCATCAATAGAGACGGTTCGAGGCGAATGTCATATGTGTAGAAAATGTTGCTGTTAGGTTTGCCAACTAAAGTCTGAACCGGTTTCAAAAATTTAAAAGCCAATCGTTGTATTTTGATGTGGATTACTTTCTCTCAGTTTTGTACAACGGTCGGCTGAACCGTTTCTTTTTAAAAATAGCAGAAAAGTAAAAAAAATTGTCCACGTTTAAGCTCTTAATTGTGAATCGATTTTAAAAAATCAAAAACTGTAAGATTTTAGTTGGGAATGATACTAATTAGTTTTAAGTAATAAATCTGAGAAAATAGAAGTAGTATGACAACGCTATGTTACGGTTCTATCTTCGTGTGAATTGGTAGTAAAAACTGTCAAAAAGCTACGTGCGATCAGGCGTTTAACACATAAAAATCATCATAAATAAAGAAGCATAGCTATTGGGTTGCTTTCTAAGTTGTCCAAAGTATAGCAGTTCCGAACTAGAGTACTTCTGCCATTAGGATTCCTTCTGCTGTTCATTAGTAAAAATATTTATTACAACATCTTAAAAACTGCAGAACATCTTATTATGTCAATTTTTTCCTCTTTATTGTCATTGAT